CGTGTTGAAAGCGCGATTTCCTCTCGCCAGTTATGGAATCCGGTGAATTATTTAAATTTTTCGATGCGATCCTGCTGCCGACACAAAACGCATCAAGGCCAGGCCAGAATAAACTTTACTGCTGGCCGATTACGTCATTTCATGTTTTGTCCACTACTAAAGTCCAGTTTTATCATATTATTTGGGTACTTTTTACATCAGAGTACTTCACTTCCCTGACCTCCTTTGACTGAACAGTTTGTCAAAACATTTTTAATGCAAAACTGTTACGTTAAAATGGTTCAGGGTTTTTTTTGAATTAAATGGTATTAAACGGTGCTAAATATGGTATTTAGTTTAATTAAGTCGAGAATTTAGCGACAAAATTAATACTTGTTGCAGTGGCCTCGACCCAAAGAGGAGAATCAAACGGATTCAAGTCAGGGAATCGCGCTGGACGAATTAAATGATTTAAAAAACAATTAGTGTAACCCACCAAATCTAGCTGAGAAACATTCAAACATGCGAATCATCTAATTTTAGGCCTAATCCACCTAACAATTTTTTAGATTTAAACGCCACTTTTTCAACTGAGTCTTCCTCTTTTTCCGGAATTAAAGGTCGCACTGCAGAGGAGTTTCAGCATAAAACATCAATTAATTTTGCATAATTTCCACAACATCTCTATTGCCCTCATTGGCTTCACCTTTATGCTACTAATCCAATTACTGCTGGACTATTTAATTTCTCAATAACCTACATAGAGTTTAAAATTCACCTCGTTCAGAGCCGCGTCAACCGCACGATGAATAGATTTGGAAGACGAATTTGCCCGTTTGCGTTTTTCGAAAAAAATTGTCAACGGGCTGATAGCGTGGAAAAATCAATGCCTGCTGTAGTCTTAAGGTCTAGATATATTCAAGTAAGTAAGTAGAAGCTGCTGTAGATATTCAAATTCCATGTTTTATTCCTCCTTTGGCATGTTAGTTTTAAATCCTACATCGCATTACATCTCTTTAAGCACGAAAAATTGAATTTGATATTTTTCCATGATTGATGGTCGTAAATAAAATGAGCGCAATCTAATAAACATTCTAGATGCAACTTTTTCTTTCGCCTCCAATCAACTGAAAAGATCACGTAAATGCTATCAGGTCGAACTTTTGTACGTGCTTCAGTTAAGGAAAGTGAACTCTGGACATAGAATAAACTGGAATCTTCATTGATCCCATTTCGTAGATGGGCGCTTTTTACTGCTGAAAGCGCTGAATGGACTTTCTCTTAAATGCTTGAAAGAATGCGAATCTTGAAGTTAAAGAGACAACTGCTGAGATATTTATGGACAAATATTAAAGCTAACTCAAGTTGTGATTGTCGTTTCTTCATCAAAGAGAAAATTAGTTAAATTTGCCAACATTTTCTGCCAAGTTATTTACGCTTCTTATTTATTAAATCTTAAAATAGAATACTGCAGTGAACGGTTGATGCATACAAATAGCAATTAATCATGCCACTATGTAAACCTTTCAATATCAAGTGCATCAAGCTTGAGTAATTGTAATAATTGCCAAACACAAAACGGGAATCATTTTTAACTCTGTTGATCGATAGATTATTGGTGGGTTGTCAGGTTAAATTGGGCCAAAACCAGCCAAGCAAATTACCACTAAATGTTTCAGTCGTTATGGTCGTTTGCGAATGGAGAATTATAATGGTGTTGTAATGGTAAATAATGGATACTGGGTGGAAGTGAGTTGTACATACTTATAAAAGCGTTTGGTTGTAGTTGAACTTCTGTGGAAAAAAATAATTTTCAGCAATAATACATGCAGTTGCGATTTTCGTAAAATTATTTACAGTTGTAGTTTAAAATCATTGCTATGGGCTATGGAAATATCAAACTTCTATAAATACTTGCTGTGGGTCAGAAGTTACAAATTTTTACATGAGAGGTTGCAGTTGTTTGATGACATTCTGCGACTTTCTATGCCAATTTTGCAATTTTAGTTTAATTTTCGGGTGTTTTTGATGCGAAAGTCTATAATAAACTGTAACAATTTCAAGTTGGTACCTGCTCTGGATTAGCAGTTCTGAATATTTAAAGAAGCGCTTGCAATTGTTTGCATACAATCATTTCTAGACTCGGTTTTATAAAGCTCTCAAATATTATAAATCGTTGCGATTTGGAGTATTTGAAGAATTTGAATTAACTCTTAAGCTACTTTTGGTACTTGCTCTATGAGAAGACGAATTAGAAGATTTAGTTAAATTTAATAGAATCTCCTCAAAATCAAATTTTGCTCTTTTAATTCGTCTTCTTATAATCCAGAGCAAGCACCAAAAGTACCTTAAAAATTTAATTCAAATTCACCCATCAAAATTTGATTTTGATGCGATTTGAACAAATTACAAAATTGGAAGTTTCAGATTTCAAATACTACCTGCTTGCTCAGGACCAAAGATGACAAAGTTTCAAGCAAGAACGTGCAAATGTGTGATATTTTGTAGATGAATTTGTACACAGTTGCTTAGCTCAGAAACTAGTGGGATTTCAATGAAAATTTTAAGCGTTTTATCCTCTATGGACTGTAAAAATTGCAAGTAGCTGCTTGCCCAATAGCAAAAGATCCCAACTTTCAAAGCAGAGCGTGCAATTGTGTGACAATTTTTTTTTCGACCAGCATCTACAAAGTGGAAAATTTTGGATCGACTGTGATTCTATTGAAATTTTCAGGGGTTTCAGATGCAAACGCTTTTTATAAACTGTGACAGTGATGAATGAACTTTTATAAATTGTGTGTTTGAGAGTTTCAAGTTAGTACTTGCTCTGCATTTTTTAAGTAGCGCTTACAATTGTTCGCAATCATTTCTAGGCCATTTTTTACAAAGCGCGCGAAATATGAAGACGCGAAATTATCAGTTTTTTAGATTCTCGTATCCTCTATGGACTGTAAAAATTTCAGGTAGCTGCTTGCTCAACAGCAAAAGATCCCAACTTTCAAAGCAGAGCGTGCAATTATGTGACAATTTTTTTTCGACCAGCATCTACAAAGTGGAAAATTTAGGATCGACTGTGATTCTATTGAAATTTTCAGGGGTTTCAGATGCAAACACTTTTTATAAACTGTGATAGTGATTTTTATAAATTGTGTGTGTGAGAGTTTCAAGTTAGTACTTGCTCTGAATTTTTTAAGTAGTGTTTACAATTGTTCGCAATCATTTCTAGGCCATTTTTTTACAAATCTTGCGAAATATAAAGACGCGATTTGAGGGAAATTATCAGTTTTTTAGATTCGCGTATCCTCTATAGACTTAGACATTTCAAGTAGCTGCTTGCTCAATAGCAAAAGATCCCAACTTTCAAAGCAGAGCGGGCAATTGTGTGACAATTTCTTTTCGATCAGCATCTATAAAGTGAAAAATTTAGGATCGACTGTGATTTTATTGAAGTTTTCAGGGGTTTCAGATACAAGCGCCTTTCATAAACTGTGAGAGTGATGAATGAACTTTTAAGAAATTGTGCGTCTCAGAGTTTCAAGTTAGTACTTGCTCTGCTTTTTTTAAGTAGCTCTTACAATTGTTCGCAATCATTTCCAGACTAGGTTTTACAAAGCTTGCGAAACGTAAAGACGCGATTTGAGGGAAATTATCAGTTTTTTTCGATTCAAGTGTTTGTTCTATATGGATTGTAAAAATTTCAAGTAGCTACTTGATCCAAGTTCAAATGAGACGAATTGTCAATTAAAAGCGTGCAACAGACCGGATTCGAATTAAATTTTCAGGAGTTTTCCATCTAAAACGTCTTTTATAAATTGTGAAAACTTCAAGTTAGAACTGCTGATTTTTTAAATGATCGCTTGCTGTTTGAGTAAATTAATTCATTCATTTCCATATTCAGTTTTTATAAATCTCACAAAAATTTAAATTCATTGCGATTTGAAGCAAATTATCAGGTTTTTCGGAATCAAGTGTTTTCTATGGACTCAAGTCCATATTCAAGTAGCTACTTGCTCAATAACAACAGATACGATTGTTCAAACACGAGCGGGTAATTATGTGACCATTTCTTTATAGGCTAGCAGCTAAAAACTTATAATCTCCGGATCGACCGGGATTTGAATGATTTTTTACGAATTTTTCGAAATTAGATGCAAATGTCTGTTATAAACTGAGTTTCAAGGTGCTACTTGCTCTAGATTCGCAGTTCCGATTCTTTAAACTAGCCCTTGACTTCAGCAAATATTTATTTCTTGACTATTTTTTACCAAGCTCGGAAAAAATTATAATTTGGCGTGATTTAAAGGAAATGATCAGATTGATCAGATTCAATATATTCTATGCTCAATAGAAATTTCAAAAAGTTACTTGCTCAATACTAAATGATACGAATTTTTAAGCAAGAGCGTACACTTTCAGGATTGAGATTTTAGATGCAAATGTCTGTTATAAACTGTGAGAGCTTTAAGTTGCTACTTGGTTTCAAAATTATAGTGTTTTTAAGGATAATTTGTAGTGTCTGAAAACACCCATATGCAAGACCAGGGTTTGGTTGCAGTTTTAATGTCATTCCTAGGAATTTTCTCAAGTACAAACTGCCGGTTTGTTAAAACATTTATTCTGCAGTAGCTTTACTGGCGCACCACTGACAGACAGATATTTTAACTACAATCAACTTAATTAAAGTCGTTTAACAGCCAGGATGATGTAAAGAGGTAAATACCGCAACAAGTAGAGTTTTAACGATTTTTTCGCTGCAAATTGAAATTTAGCGTTAATCGCCGATGTTTTGCCACCCAAGCTGAAAACTCAAACAGTCGCCATCAAAACGTAGCCAAGTTGAAAGCATGTAAATTGCAGAAAATATCTTAACTGTTAATTTAATGTCGACGAAACATGGTATCAAATTGCAGATTGCAATGTGATCTCGGCCCGTCCAGTAGCATGTAATGTTTGTTTATAAATGCATAAACTGGATGGTTTTCAGTTAGTTTTGTGGTGTGACAATGCGTTTTTGGTTTCAGACTGATCCGAATACGGCATTCCTACGGGCAGCCAGGGCAGGACAACTGGATAAAATCCAAGAATATTTGGACTCAGGAACAGTACGCGATATTAACACATCTAATGCAGTAAGTCGCAGCTTCGTTGATAAGGACACTAGTGTTAATTTAAATATCCCTTCTTGTAGAATGGCTTAAATGCACTTCACTTAGCAGCTAAGGATGGGCATGTAGACATTGCGAAAGAACTTTTAAAAAGGGGAGCAGTGGTGGATGCAGCCACTAAGAAGGGCAACACAGCGTTACATATCGCTTCACTTGGTAAGTGTAAAATAATAATTTATACATTCATGCAAAGCCGTCAGTAAATAATTATCAACAAAATAAATTCTAATCGAGATCGATGTTCAGATCTACAATTTTTTGCTAAAATATTAAACTGTACGGTAATTGTAATTGAAAATCATTTAAACTGGAAAAAGCGTGTACTTTATAACGTTTTTACGCAATTACCAACTGCAAGTCCATTTGAGCAGCAATTGCAATTTCATCCGATTTGCCAAGGAAAAGTGCAATCAAATTAGGGGTTTAAATGCGGCTTAAAGAAAAATCTCCATTCTCTTAAACTATTTTCGCAATGTTTAACAATATGCGACTATTTGTATTGGTAGATGAGGAAGAACAGGAGCAACGGCGACCTGTTTGCAAACTTTTTGAGTCAATTTTTTGCCATACCATTTTCCATCACATCAATGTAAATGTTTTGCGAAAAACCTCTAATATTGGCAAAGTTTTTGCCATTTTTCAATCCTAAATGCTGTTGGCAGTATTTTTCGAAAAATGTCAAACATTGGCCCGTGCTTACGTTTGCTACTGTTCAAAATTGGATGATGAACAAGAGCAGAAGCAGCAGCGACCTGTTTGCAAACTTTAGCAGTCAAATACATTTTCAGTCAATTTTTTTAAGAAATTGATAACATTTCACAAGAATCAGTGCAAATGATTGAAGAAAGTCCTGTAATATTTACCAAGTTTTTGGCAATTTTCAATCATAATTACTTTTTGACACCTTATCTTACAAAAAATGTCAAAAATTGGCACGTGTCAGTCGGTTTTTGGAAGAAAATTAAACCGTTTCCCATCACACCAGTGCAAATGTTTTACGAAAAGCCTCTAATATCGACAAAGTTTTGCTCATTTTTCAATCTTAAGCCCGTTTTTGACACGCTGTTTTTTGAAAAATGTGAACAATTGGTACATCTTTAGTCTAATACTGTTCAAAATTGGCAGATGAACACGAAGGACAGAAGCAACAGCCAGTTGATTTCCTACTTTCGACAGTACAGTAGCAGGAAAAAACGAATTTTGACAATTCGTTCTTTTCTGTCGCTTTTATGAAGCAAAAGATTAACTTTTGCCAGGTTCAATGCAAATGTTTCACGCAAAAAACGCTTTAATCTTCATAAAGTTTTGGGCAATTTCAATCATAAGCTACGTCTAATACTGTTGAAAAATTGGGAGACGAACAAGGAGAAAAGCAATAGCCACTTGTTTTGAGACGTTTGGCAGTTAATCTTTTTTCTGTCGGTTTTATGAAGAAAAGTATTAAATTTTGTAAATGCAAATGTTTGATGAAAAAAGACAGAATGACAGATAATCTTCAGAAAATTTGTTAATTTTTCAATCATAAGCTATTTTTGGATACTCAAAAAATTTCAACATTTGGTATGTAGGTGTCCATGTATGTCTAATACTGTTAAAATTAATACATGAACAGAAATAATAGGGACTTGTTTTCATAGTCATAGACAATTAGTCAATTTTTTCTGCTGATTTTTTGAAGAAAACTATACAACTTTGCAAAAAACAATGCAATTGTTTTAAGAAAAAAAAATTAATATCTACAAAGGTTTGCGCAATATTTAATCATAAGCTACGTTTTGACACTATTTTTCGAAAAATGTAAATTTTTGGCGCATGTCAAGATCTCACATTGTTTAAATTTTGTGGATGGAAAATTAAATTTAATGGATACATTAGAAATAATAGCGACGGTTTTTGACCCTTTTGTTATTTCAACAATTAAATAGGAATGTTTTCAGCAGATTTTATGAAAGAAAAAATTTAATCTTGCAGATTAGTATAGAAAAGTAATTCCAACTTGAATCGTGAAATCATGTGTTGGAATACACAATTTCAAGAAAGGCGTTATTCAATTATAATATTTTTCGAAATTTTTTTAATAAAATGTAAAATTTTTCGAATTTACAGTTCAAAAAGAATTCACATACAACGGTAAAACTAGGTAAAAGTATTTGCTTGAAAGTGTCCAAATTTTACACGTGCCTTGATGTTTTTGACAATTTTGTGCTAGAAATGGCAAGTTTTGACATATTTTGAACTTAATACTGTTTAAATTTGACAGTTGAATAAAGAAAACATCGGAAATAACAATTTTATATATTTTTTTTACCATTTTGGAAATAAAGCCTCTTTGACAACGTTTTATAAAGAAAGTTAGAGAGTTAAAGAAGTGTTAAATTTTGCAGATGTCATTAGGAAAAAGGGTTTTCTTAAGTGTAAAAATTTTCAAGAGGTTTGAGCTTTTTGACATTTGTTCGTTTAAATCGGCATATTTTAATTCTACCATCGCCTAATCAAAAGAATTGATGTAATGAAAAACGATATCCTTTTACTAAGCACAATGCTCTTAGAAATACTTGATATACTTTAGTTTCATAGAAAGTTTGCAAATCACTTTCTATATTATTTTCTCTACTAATAATTGCTAATTCTGCCTTTCCTAAAAAGTCGTTTCAAGCGCTAATGTATAAAAAATGCAAATGCCCATATATCTCTACTGATAATATAATATAATATTTTAGGGCCATTAAAAGCGGAATGTTGGCAATTACTTGATTATTCTGTACAGGTACTTAAAGTATTTTCCAATTTTGAAAACGTAATGATATTGATTAGACGTTTTATTATTTTAATAAGCAAGTCATAAAAGAGCTTGAGTATTTCGAGATTTACAACTAGCAGCACTTGCACATCACATTAAACATCATTAATTAGTTTGGACTACAGGTTGCATAAACAAACCATTATCCTACAATAATTATTCTTTGTTCTCTGGTTTACGAATGGCTTTCTTGCTTTCAGCTTAATTTTCGTGCAATTTAGGTGACTGCTCGAAGAAGCAGAGCATGACTTCCCGTATTAAGATTATTTTGCCACCGGATTTTTAAATTTTATCCATAGTAATTCAACTAGGAGGGCATGAGTCACAGTTATAAATGAAAACAATATTACAATTTCAACATTGGTTGGGCCTTAATCAACTTTATAATAGACTTAAAGAGATATCGTATCTGATTAGTTACTTTTAACTAGGATTTCCGATATAAAACTGCACCTTTATGGTGGAAATTATACAGCATTAATTGATAATTGACACTACACAAGGGCGGAAAGACCGATTGGGTCGATAGCCTTTTTCTATAGGAAATAAAGATTATTTATATATATTGTATATATATGACACATAATTAATCTGTTTCAGCTGGCCAAGAAGAAGTGGTGAGACTTTTAGTGCAACAGGGTGCATCTTTGAATGTCCAATCCCAAAATGGGTTCACTCCTCTCTACATGGCAGCCCAAGAAAATCACGATGGGGTTGTTCGATATCTTCTATCCAAGGGGGCGAATCAGATTTTGGCTACAGAAGTGAGTAGTTTTCAGCAGTTCTGTTCTAACAAGAAGCAACATTTTTGTTAAAAACGCTAAGAACTATTGTGTTCTATTGTCGAGTAGTGTCTATATACGTACATGCTAACCATGCTGATTGGAATGTATTTTCAATGGAAATGTTTATTGGTGTTGGTCACGTTTCTACACCAACCTTTTAGAGCTGGTAATATAAAGCTATTTGCGACCGCCAAGTTTGTAGCCGATTAATATTAATTCCGGTAATAGATTCGCTATCAGGACTGATTGCTTAACAGCCCATTATCTTAAAGGTGTAGTAAGCAAATGAAAGAAAATTATTATTTGCATAGACTGACTAGAGAAAGAGCCATTAAGTCGATTTAAAGGTCCTCAAGGAAGTGTTGTTGAAACAAACAAGAACACATACATACTAGGCCTGGGTAACACTGTGTTGAGTTGCGCTATTGAGTTGTTGCCGCTCTCTGAGTTAACGAGTTATAGCTCATCGGTTAATGAGTTATAAGTCATTTATTAAAGCTTTACGAGACCCAAGACTGGAATTTACACATCTAAAAAAAAGGTCATCAACATTTTTTCTGAGTAACGTTTTACTACTTTGTTCAAACAATTAAAACTAAAAAAGTCATATAGATTTTTCCGGTTTTTCTGTTTAGTGACAGTGTTGTTTAGAAATATTGACCTAAAAGTGAAGAAACCCAAGTTTCCAAATAAACGATTATAAACTTGCGCTTTTTCAGTTCGGGGAAATATCCATCCATTATTCCATAATTCGAAGCTGCAGAAAGGTGTGAAAATATTTTCTAAGCGGGGGCCAGTGTTCTAACAAAATATATCTTTCCAACAAAATCAAAAAATTTTTCACAGAAAATATCTGAAGATTGTCAGTATTTTAACTAAATAATAATGCGATTTTTGCGTAGAAAGAATTGCTTAATAGAAACTTTGTTAAGACTAGAATGACCTGAAAATTTAAAGATACTTTTTATTGAATGTTTTCAGTGCGATGTGGCCAGCGAATTTTCCAAATAATTGTTTGTAAACTTTTACTCCCTGGCCGTTTTTTCAAGATAATTATAATTACTTTCGGTAAAAAACTGAATAAAATTATTTGGTTTTTGTGCCAAATTCGAAGCGAAAATGGTTTTCGAAAGTTCCCTGCAAACCGATGAATGAGGCGAATTTTCCAGCTAAATTAATTTTGTCATTTTTGGCTGAAAAGACCCGATCATTGTCAGAAAAGAATAAAATCATCAGAAAATTATGTTTTTTTTGCGTTTTCCATTAAAAACATTTAGTTTTGTGATCCGTTTTGGAGAAAACCTTAATGGTTTTCGGGGACAAACGGGAGGAGTTTATTTTCGTTTTCGTGTCGAATTCGACGCTGAAAAAAGGTTTTGTAAAATTTTTGCAAAGCTATAAATTTATCTTGTTTTAAAAGTTTTAATAGAAAATTATTTGATTTTTGTTTCAAATTCGATGCTGGAAAGGTATTTCGAAGCGACCAAGGATTCGAATTTTTTTTCATAATTTTTGAAGGAAAATACGTTAAGTTTAGCAGCATTTTTAAGTGAAACTTTAGAAAATTGAATATTTAGAAGAAAAGAAGGAAGCGGGTGTGTACGCACTGAAGAAAATCCAATCAATGGATGATCGCACACTATAATGCAAGTTTGCATACCCTTTGATTGGATTTAGAAGAAAGAGTAACTTGGTTAAAACTGGAAAATTCCGAAATCTTGAAGAAATTTCAGAATTCTAAAAACAAATCATCAACATTTTCCCAGCAAACCATTTCACTGCGCCAACTTCTAAAAATTAACTGAGTTACCCAAGCCTAAAACATACCTACATACAACAAAAACCCGATGATAAATACGTAACTTACCTACATAAAGGCAAATCGACTAAATTTTAAAGTGAATTTTTAGCAAACGTTTCAGACTTTGAAGTGAATTTGGGAGTCACGATGTTCTCTTCACTTAAAATGAATAGTCGTGATGGCAACTGCCGATAATACTGGCGAAAAGTACAAGCAAAGCATGCAAATTGAACTGCAAATGCGAGTCTTTTACCTCCAAAAATTACGATAACTGTTTTTATTTAAATATAGGAGAAACAAATTATTCTGATATTCGTACATGAAAGTGTAGACGAACGAGTTTGTCAGTTTGTTTTCGACAATCAGTTGTTTGAAATTTATAGATGTTTTTGATCAAGCAAATATTTGATAAGAAATACAATCGCATTTTTATAGTAAAATAATCACATTTTAAATAGCCATTGCAGTGTTGGACAGCGAAAAACGAATTCTTGGTATAGCAGCGCAACAGTAAGAAAGTTAAAATATTGTTATTATTTTGCAAGTCATTTGAAAAATCAATGATTAGTTCAATACTTGGGAGATATTAGTAATGGCAAATTAATGTTTCGTCTATTACTCATACGATTGCACTAATTACCGAAAAACACCAATTTTAAAATTGGACATTTACAATTAATTTGAAACGATATCGAATTTGTTTTGCTGGCAATTCAATGCAACCGGATAAAATTCCAATTATCGCCGCAATTCGCTTCTTGGCCAATAATAATTGTTCTTAAATTACCCCGAAGTAATCATTTCATTAAAACTGTTTACTGCTTTTCAACTCCTAAGTTTATGTGTTTGGAACACATGCTACCGTACAAATACACTTTGGAAAACCATAAAACCAATTAGCGGTCGTTACTGCTATGTTTCATAACAGTGGCAGTCATCTCTTGGGTGAAAATAGATCATTTTTAATTGTTGAACAATTTCCTTAAAGGCCTAAGGAGGAGTATGTGTAATGTTTTCCATGTTTCATATACAGACAGTCTCAGAAGGAATGTCTAAATTCATTTAAGTAATATTCAGCGACTGTTTTTGTTAAAAACGTTCGGGACGCGTCAATTTTTATTTGCAAACGCAATTTTTTTATTGTCCAATTTATATAGGGTGGTCCAAAAATAAGTTACGACCATCAACTTATTTTTTTTTAAATGAACGCGTCTGCTTTTAATTTCAATTTTGCAGGCTATCCCCACGACAATATCACGGAACAGTCCAATTTCTTGTTTCGTAGCCATGATAGCTTTTTGCGGGCTATCCATCTTCTGCCCTCGACTTTTCCGTGGACGATCAGGCAGAAAATGTGGTATTTGGTACCTCGCATTATACGTCCAAAGTAGCTGACCTTTCTTGTTTTCAATTCTGCAAATTCGTATCAAGAAAGAATTAAATTAAATCGTATCGATAGAATCTATAGTCTGTAGAATAGTCTGTAGTCCAGATGGCTGCCCAGATGATGTCCATTTGCATTGTTTTGCACGATTCAAAGTTCCGATCTCTTAAAATGTTACTACCTACTTTCTTTCTACTAGTGATTTTCATCGGAGACAATTGTTAAATCAGATGTTGAGCGGATATTCTCTAAAGAAGGCAGGGTCAATTTATGAAAAACGCTCAAGAGTAGCTATCTACTATTCTATCTCAACTATTATTAATCACTTAAGGCAATAATATGTTCTATTATTTGTTATTTTATTTTGTAACAACAAATAATCAATATTTAGATATCTATTTTGTAATCTTTCATATTTAACATAAAATGATAAACATCATTACTGTTTTGTAATAATATATAATAAATATGTTTTGAATTTAATTGAAAAAATATTATTATAGTTCACTTCAGTTATTTCAGAAAACATGGGTCCCGTCTTTTTATTTTCTATCACGCAACGCATTCTTGATACCAAAGACGATACGAATCTCTCTTCAGCTTATAGTTGCAAAATATGTGAAACGAATTTATTAGGGCTTATTTTGAATTCTCTATATTATTTCTATGATTAATTGTGTTTACCACGCATCAAAATGGATTTTTTCCCTTCATATACTCTTTGATTCGTTTATGATTAAACTTTCTCAATTTAGTTTAATTTTGTTAGTCTTGGATTAGTTCAGTGAGAATTTTTTTTCGAACATACGCGAACATATCCTGTCTGTATAGCTCTTCCTCGTTTTACCGTATATTTTAAACAGATGGAACGTCTTTTTCCTATTCAGATACAAGTTGTAGCAGACGTTTATGAACAACATACACAAGACCAGTCACAAAAAACATGCTACAAAGCGAAAAGTATTAAGGAATGCTGGACGTCAAAAACAATTTCGTGCTAAACAAAGAGCATTCAGTAATAGATCAACTCCAAGTAGCTTTCATCAACCACGAACTAGTGCTGAACGTCAAAGATTATACAAAGCAAATAAGAAATTACGGCTACAAAATACAGAAACTCAAGAATAAGAGTTTAGACAATCCCAAGAAGAGCAATATGTACAACCTCTCGTTGAAGAATGTTAAATGGTTCAAATAAAAAAGATATTTTACAATCAAAAGGGAATTTAATGACATTTTACCTATTCCTGATCCATTTATAAATTATTAGACTACCAAGAATATTAAAATTATTATTGCCATCATGCCTTAAACAAGTTCAATTTTTTATGGTTTCTATAAATATATGAAGTTATCACTTCTGTCGAGCCTCCCGTAGCGCACACCATTTTTTCTTCTGTATATGCCAGAATGTTCTTTTAGCTTTTTATTTACATTAAAATCGTCGTATATGGACTGGAAATGTTCGACTTCCTTACAGGATTCCTGCAGCCATATTTCCTTAGCTTAATTTTTTTGCAAATTATACTGCTACCTAAACAGTCCAACTGCCCAACTATTTTATATCCCCACAGACTTTTCCGTGCTCGTTGCAGCATGTCACGAAAATTTGCTGCTGCTCTAATATTGTTTAGAACTATAAAAAAGAAAACTTGCTAAAAAAGACAAGAAGGAAAGTGAGATAGTGAGAAAAACTCGACAAAAAGAATTACGACATGATTCTATGCAGCTATTTCCTGCAGCGAATTGATCCTTTTTCGCGGAATTTGGCGAAAAAAAAAACTTCAAAAATTTGCCAAAAAAAAACTAACATTTTTCAAATCCGGCCCATCATATAACTCGAAAGAAAAAATCGGCGGCTTTAAGTGAGGAAAAGTCCATTTTAATACGAAATTTCTAAGAGTTTCCAGTATTTTTCAGTTACTAAGGCGAGTCGATGGGCCGTTGAAAAACATACATTTTTCCAAAATTTTACAAGAAAAAGCCAAAAATCCATCAATCCGGCTCATAATATCAAWCGAAAGATAAAATMCGCTTTGAATGTGGAAAACGCACTTTAATAGGATCTTTCTGGAAGTTTCCTGGATTTTTTGAGTTACGAAGGTGAGGCGATTGGAAAGAGAAGTAATACTGAAAAATCCTCAAAACTGTCCATAACATATCTCGAAAGAGAAAGTCTGCAGCTTTAAGTGAGGAAAATTTACTTTTATAAGCAACTTCTGAAAGTTTCCAGGATTTTTCTACCTACTAAGGCGAGTCGATGGCCCAAAGGAAAATAGGAGAAAATAGGAAAACCAAAAAATTCTAAATCCAGCCATAACATCACTCAAAAGTGAAAATGCGCTGCTTTAAGTGAGGAAAAACTCACTTTAACAGGAAATTTCTGGGAGTTTCCAGGACTTCTTCAGTTACTAAGGCGGGGGCCGTTAAAAAACACAAATTTTTCAAAAATTTTACAAGAAAAAGCCAAAAGTCCCGCAATCCTGATAGTTATATCACTCGAAAGAGAAAATGCGCAGCTTTAAGTGTGGAAAACGCACTTTAATAGGAAATTTCTGGGAATTTTTACGATTTTTTCAGAAACTAAATCGAAGCGATTTTTCAAGAATTCCCCAAAGTGGAACCAAAAATCTCTCAATCGGGTCCATAATGTAACTTTAAAGCGAAAACCGCTGCTTTACGTGAGAAAAACTCACTTTAATACGAAATTTTTGGGTGTTTCCAGGATTTTTTCAGTGACGAAGAGCTAGATTAATCTCATGTGGCTATCTTTTCCTTTTGACTTTTTTCACTCTTCTAATTAAGTACCGGTCTCTCCAATAACAGCATGATCGTACATTCTTCATTTCGTTTTCGCCACACCATTTGTCGTCCATCCGATCCAAATATGTAAAACTTTTACTCATCACAAAATATTACATCCCTCCAATGTCCACCTTTTGAAGAACGACCCTTTCGACCCTAAGGGGTTTGTCAAAATCGTTATGAGAAAGTTCTTGATGAAGCTAAATTATATTATCGTGATAATTGCAATCTTGCAGAATCCTTGAGACACTCCTTCCTTGATGACCTCTTGTCCTATTTCCGGGTCTGCAAGCAAGTCAAAACTCGTAATTTATTGTTTCTTATCTTCTGACAGCATAATTTCTTCGCAAATATTCTCCATATGCAACATTCCCATTTTCCTCAAATAGACTTAACACTCTTGATGGACGACTTTATTGGGATGGTTTGTGTCAGGAAAGCATTTCAGTTTCAGTGTAGATGCGAGATGTTGCTAAACAGTTTTAAAGAGATTTTCCCAGGTTGAAATAAACAATGTTATCAATTCTTTCTGCTTTAGCGTAAACTATCATTTTCATGCATGTTCTGTAAATAGCAATTTCTATTATATGATTTGACAATTTTATATAAAATTACGCAAAATACTTACAAATAAATAAATAGGAAACCATAATATGGAATTCAATCGATGATTAAATATTTTATCTGTCTGTGGCATAAAATTCAGTGTTCCATTTAAATCAAGCTAGTTATTACCATTCAAAACGTGCAATTGTTTGAACTGGGTTTCGGACACCCTCAAAAAAATCCGCATTTTTATAGAACAACAAATATCTCAGAAAGCAAAGATTTAATTAAGCAAGATAAACCTTAATACAATTGACATTCCATTTCGAAAGTGCAAACTTTGGAGACACCGGGTGTCCCCAAGTACAATACAAAATATTAAATAAAATATACCCCCGGTAGGCTTCTACTGATCCATAAAATAATAATCTCTGAAATAGTTTAGCCGCAATCTTCGGCATGTTATAACCCGAATAATCCTGTATAATAATAATACAGGCTGACAAAAGAACCTTCAGGCCAAGATTGTGTCTCTCTACGCTAGCTCGGAACCACAGTGGATGAACTCAAATATCCATAAAGATCGCTCGGTCATCTGTATAATTTTTCCATAAGAATAATAAGATTGCCACAGTCGAAAGCCAATTATTGTCATGAAATGGGACAACAGGCCACTCACCCGCCACAATAAAACTAACAGGAACTTCAGCAAAAGAAGCTAATTGCATTTTTTGTATAAATTTGCCTGCGGGTTACATGCGCGATTTCGGTTTTGTAAACCGGCTTATATTGATTATCATACTCAAATTCTTTGATTCAGAATTCAAAAGTCTATTTCGTTGTTTAATATTTGCACTTAAGATTATTTTTCACTTTAGGATGGATTCACTCCATTGGCAGTGGCCATGCAACAGGGCCACGACAAAGTTGTGGCTGTGCTTTTAGAGAACGACACCAGGGGAAAAGTGCGACTTCCCGCCCTCCATATAGCTGCTAAAAAAGACGACGTTAAGGCAGCTGCTTTGCTCCTACAGAATGAGCACAACCCTGATGTTACATCGAAAAGTGGCTTTACACCTCTACATATTGCCGCTCATTACGGCAATGATAAAGTGGCCTCTTTGCTCTACGAGAAGGTCTGTACATACCACTGGTGTTTAGAGTTTTTTTAGTAGCAATTGCGATTATTTCAGGGTGCCAATGTGAACTATACAGCAAAGCACAACATCACACCCATTCACGTGGCCAGCAAATGGGGTAAAATTAACATGGTGACTTTGTTGGTGGCAAAAGGAGCGGATATTCAAGCTAAAACGCGGGACGGGCTCACCCCTCTTCACTGTGCCGCCCGGAGTGGACACGATCAAGTCGTTGACATGCTTTTGGAAAATGGTGCACCTATTCATGCCAAAACCAAGGTGAGRMAAAGCTTAATTTTCTAATTATTTAAGGAAATACTTGCCGGAAAAATCAATAGTGTTCTTTTTTTTGATAATTTTCTAAAGACGGGCCTATGTGGTCCTCACTGATGAATGAATCAGAGACATATACAAATGGTAACACCCCGTAAAACTGGTTTTATTTAAGTAATGTTTAGTATACAGGTTTCTTATACTTACTGACATGAGTACTTCGTTAAAAAATTGAAGAAATTCTATGGTTAACAGCCTAGAAAAACTTAATAATGTGTCGGCCCTCCGCAATGTTTATGCACTCCTAAACGTGCCGATGTTCTCTTGGGGATCTTACTCCAGGCTATCGGTGCGGCATTGCAGAACGCGTTTAGCAAGTGGGGGTAGTGGTAAATTTTGTAACCTACCTTTAATATCCCAAATATGTTCATATTGTTCTGAGCCCCCATGTGGTCATATATACCTATCTTGTTGAAAAACTGGATGTTCTCAGAAAACGAAGTTCAAGACCTCTTGAATGTACCGGAGGGCAGTCATATTGCCCCTGATGAAAACTGCTACTATGAGCACCTCACACTATTATCCCTATGGCCTTTGGTCTCACTGGCCTAGACAAAATCTTGGTCTGTCGCTGAGGACTGCAGTATCCCAACCTCATTAATGAACGTCTTAAAGTATTTCCATTGCCATAAAAATCGCAGCAAACTCTGGTTTTGTACCAGGGAAAGATACAAGTGAGCAAATACTGAACGTCCGTCAAATCATTGAAAAAGAGCGAGAATTTAACATCGAAGTAAGTATATCTATTTCGTTGACTATTCGAAAGCTTTTGACGCCGTTAAGTGGGTATCGCTGTGGACAATTCTCAAAGAAATGCGCACTCCTTGTCTAAACACCGATTATATCTTAACCGGTGTTTAAAAAAAAATGTGTTGCACCGTCGCAAACTAATCGTCTGTTAGTTAATCAGAAAATCACAATGGCACCTCCGCTTTTTGGGCTTAGGTTGCTATCAGAGACATGAAATAATCCCTTGTTATCCCTTGTCTCAGGTTGCTATCTTCATGATTATCGAATTTTATTTCACATGATCTTTCGCAGCAACGCGGCCAGTAATATATTGGTTATATTATATTTTATTGTGTACTCCTTGTCTTCATATTTGTGTACTACTGACCTATAATATATAATATATATAAGCCTTGTTCTATGCTACTGACTACTGTACTAGCATGTACTAGACGTCGACTAACAATGCAATTCAAAGCTCTAAAAAGGTCTGAAATAGCTGTAAAATACGACCAACTGCTTGATAAACGGCTAGAACTAGCAGATTTGCAGAAAAAGAAATTGGAAGAGGAATTGTTAATGATTGAATGTGAAAGAAAGCGAAAGCTTCAATTATTAGATTTACAAATTGAAATAGAAAGGAAAAAACTTAATCTCCTTCGACATTGAACTGGGTGTTTGTATTAATTTTTATTGAAAAAACTTAAAAATTGAAACTTCGTACAAGGTCAAAGGCAACGTAAGAAACTTCTTTATAGTGTAACTCACTCTAATAGGTATTAAAAAATACGAATTACTTCCAAAGGTGTCTTTTCTTAGTAATTTAAAGCCTAGAAAAATAATAATTTACAAGTTGACTTTTAAAGTTGTTAACTAAAGCTAAAGCTAAAGCTAAAGAGCTACGAACTGCTGCCCTATCCACCGTATTCTCCAGATTTGGCCTCGTGCGACTTCTTGTTTCCAAACTTGAAAAAGTCACTCGCCCGGCAGATATTTCAGTCGAATGAGGAGGTCCGTTTAGTTGTTCTGGGCCTCCATTAGGTTGCCTTCCGGACTAGGAATACAACCGAGTGGAGGGCGTATTAGAGGAGGATCTATTGTCATCTGTCCTCATCAATTGAGGGCCATTTCCATTTTAGCCTCGCCACCCGTTCTGCGATGTCTATCACTTTTGTATTCTGTCTGATCCATTCGCGTGTCTTTCGGTCTTGTAGACGTATTCCTAGCATTTTCCTCTCCATTTTTCTTTGAGCAATCCTTAAACGCTCCATGGTCCCCTCATTAAGGCTCCATGTTTCTGCTTCGTACGTTAAAGTCGGCAGGACACACTACTTTTGTTTTTGCTGGGTGCAGGTGGTAGCTTTTTACGGCGCTGTTTAACTGCTCTAGCATCGTCTTTAAATCATCTATACTCTCCGCAAGAAAAACAATATCGTCAGCAAAGCGAAGCTTATTTACTTGTTCACCATTGATGTTAGCCTTCCATTCAAGTGTCTTAAATATATCCTCCAGAGCTATTTTGGGGATATTGTATCTCCCTGTCTCACGCCTCTTTTACGGGTGCTCTCTCTTCTGTCACGTAGTATATTTTTATGTTTTTTTTAGAAACTACCAAACCACTACGTAGTAGTAAAACTACTTAGCAACATTCATTAAAGTTTACTGCGTTAATTCGATTTTTTACCTCCATTAGTTGATCGAATTGAGTAAAAATCTTTGTTTTTACCTTATTAGATGGAATTTTGTGTAGACACCCTGTATAATTTATTATACATATAATAATATGTTATTAGAATGGTTTGGCACCACTTCATATGGCAGCGCAAGGAGAGCACGTGGATGCAGCCCGAATCCTTCTCTACCACGGAGCGCCTGTAGACGAAGTCACTGTAGACTATCTCACTGCTTTACACGTGGCAGCGCATTGTGGACACGTGAGGGTTGCTAAGTTGTTGCTAGAGCGCGGTGCCGACGTCAACGCTAGAGCCTTGAATGGTTTTACACCTTTACATATTGCCTGCAAGAAGAACAGGTTGAAGATGGTGGAGTTACTGATCAAGCATGGAGCAAGTAGGTTTCACTGTGTTTTTTTTAACACCTGATTGATTATCCATTTTAATTAGGTATTGGGGCCACTACCGAGAGCGGTTTGACCCCACTACATGTGGCCAGTTTTATGGGATGTATGAACATCGTCATATATCTGCTTCAGCACGATGCCAGCCCGGATATTCCTACCGTGCGAGGCGAGACGCCCCTGCATTTAGCAGCCAGAGCCAATCAAGTAAAAATCTCCTATACCGTTAAGAGTCATATTTGATAAACCTTTCTTTTCTAGACGGATATTATTCGAATACTTCTGCGAAATGGGGCGTCAGTGGACGCGAAAGCCCGTGAAGAGCAGACGCCTCTTCACGTCGCCTCGCGATTGGGCAACGTAGACATCGTAATGCTGCTGTTGCAACATGGTGCTCAACCCGGGGCTACAACCAAAGACTTGTATACGCCCCTCCATATCGCCGCCAAGGAAGGACAGGAGGAAGTTGCTTCTGTTCTTTTGGATAATGGCGCGGACCTGACTGCCACTACGAAAAAGGGTTTTACGCCTCTTCACTTGGCGGCTAAATATGGTCATCTGAACGTCGCGCGACTCTTACTACAGCGAGACGCTCCTGCTAACGCTCAAGGTATCATGTTATTAATAAAGTTTTTCTATAATCCTCAAACGTGTTTTTCAGGTAAAAACGGAGTTACTCCACTTCACGTAGCGGCTCATTACGATCATCAGCCAGTTGCACTACTTCTACTGGACAAGGGCGCTTCGCCTCATGCTGCTGCCAAAAATGGCCACACACCTTTGCACATCGCGGCTCGAAAAAATCAGGTAAAGTACTACCGTACTGTCCATAAGATCGAGATCGTTCTCAATAACGACGTTTGTTTCATAAACCAAGCTTCGTGAATTCTCTCTCTGAATTTTGGTTTCTGGTAACTTTTACTATTTTTTCGAAACTTTCGGTTGAGGCCAAGTTGGCGGCATATTGAAGGTGATATTATCCATAAAAACCATTTACAACCCCCAATATCGACTCAATTTATTGTACGCGTAACTCAGTTAATTTTTAGGAGTTGGCGTAGTGCTGCACAATTGGCTTGGTGCGCCAACTCAACGCATCGGCGCAGTATCTCAGTTCTGTTGCTGGAAAAAGTGACTTACAAAAAATGAGTTTTTTTTAGTTGTAAAAGCGGTCGGTTACGTCGCAAAAGTATTGCTCAAGAAGAATGCCAAGTACTATTTTAGGGCAGTACTATCCTGAATTGATTTTTCTCACCCAGGTAAAAGAAAGCCAACACATACAGGCTGGTTCAGTTTCCAGAGCGAAAACTTCAGGGAACGATAGAGTATCGAAAAATAATATGAGTTTGGATTATAATCTATATTCGAAATCAAACTTATTAATTGTTGGTAAATCGCTTTGGATATTTGAACGAAATTTTGCAGAGGATAACTAACAATTTTTTCGTTTAGTTAGTGGCGTCCGAACTAACACGTTAATGGATGTTTTTGAAGAAACAATTATAGGTCACTGCTTTTTCATAGAAAGGTACCACTTTTAGATTTAGATTCGTAATTCAATTTGAAAGAAGAACGCTTACTTTTAGTTTTTCTGTACAACTCAGTGTTTTCAACTAAAACGTAAAAATAGTTGATAATCATTTAATCAAACTTAATAAAATCACACATTCAATCGGTGATGTATTAGAACAACAAAAAATTCAGAAATGTTCGAAATGTAGTCCACCCATTTCAATACATTTTCAATTCAAATTACATACACACACAGAATAGGCACAACAAAAACAATACAAAACATTAAACAAGCGGTGAACAATACGGACTAATACAACCAACAAATCTTTAATACTTAAGTTTTTTTCTGTTATTTGGTTAAAACTGGAGTAGAATAAACGAGTAAACTTGGTTTTTTGAATGTTTCCAGACGTAAACGTCCAGTGGATTAATTTCTGGTTATCTGGGTGGCCAGGCCATTGTTCGATTCCATTGACCACAGTATCATTTAATTCATTAATTCTTAGCAGGCCAATGAAATGTCATGGATAATACGGAATTTTTCGAGATATTTATATCCTGTAATATTTTGACCTGCTAAATCGAAATCCGCACACAAAAATTTTGAAAAATTTAACGAATAATTCGATTGAGCTGGCGAAGACATAGGTCGATAGAGGGATAACGAAACTTTAAAATTATAAATTAAAATTTAAAGTTTGGCATTGGAGATTGTTGTCGTCCCTATGTTATAAGATGTTATGTTTGTAAGTTTAGATGTGTTTTATTATTTCGTTTCTATGGATGGTGCTTTACCTCGCTTTACATCTCTTTTGAACAAAGCCTACAGATGTACAGATTTGATCCGCACAAATGATTCTCTCAATTAGACCTTCGAATTACCTTGATGCTGACCTGATAGAGTCAAACTGGCCGCGGATTTGCATTCAGCAAGTCGAAATACTACAGGATATGTGTTATTCGTTCTCTTATAAGTGAAATTGCGTTGGCGGAGTGTAACTGTCGCCTTTTAACACAAACAAGAAAATATATGAGATGGTTGTACTACGTTTCGAGCAATTTCTATAGTTTTTGTTGATGAGGGACATCACAGTTTAAAGTTGCGATTTTATACTGTTTTATTAAATTATTATACATAATTACATTATTAAATGTGCAGATAAATTAAATAATCCAAAAATCCTTCAAACTGAATGAATTGAAGCGATTCTTGAGCGATTAGGAAATAGCAGTGGTTTGTCATGTTTTTAGACATGCATTAACGTGTTAGTCCGGAAGCCACTGACAAAACCAAAAAACTTTAATAATAAAGTAAGCTTGTTAAGAAGTCAACCTTAAACACCCCTTACCGAAGCGTTTCTCGAATATACGTATACGCAAACTCTAATTGTTGTTTGATTCCCTAAAGTTCCCCCTGAAGTTTCCGCTCTTGAAACTGAACCTCCGTATAACAAGAAAAGTAAATTCGGGAACTTCGGAAGTAAAATAAACCCAACACTAATAACAACAAAGCAAGCTGAGATGCCCCGGAATAATCTATCCAAAACCGCGCGCATCACAAAAACACAAAGAAAGAAAAAAGGTTCATCGATAATAAACAAATCGAAATTAGCTGGTCACTTTGTTGATTTCTTGCCAACTCTTCATTTTTCACTTTAAGATGGATATTGCAACGACACTTTTGGAATACAGCGCTCAAGCTGATGCAGAATCCAAAGCGGGATTCACACCTTTGCATTTGAGCGCCCAAGAAGGTCATTCTGACATATCTTCCTTACTATTAGAGCATAAAGCCAATGCCAACCAAACTTCCAAGGTACGCATCTAATTGTTTTAAAGATACTTTTACTTGATAACTCTGTCTTTATAATAGAACGGTTTGACTCCGCTACATCTCTGTGCTCAAGAGGATAGAGCTGCAGTTGCTCAGTTGTTACTACGGGCTGGCGCAATAAAAGACGCCGAAACGAAGAGTGGATACACACCGTTACATGTTGCTTGCCACCATGGGCATGTGAATATGGTAAATGTTTTTTCGAGTCTAATCAACGAGCTCGTACATTTGATTCATTTTTTAGGTAAGGCTATTATTGGAGCAAGGAGCCGAAGTCAATCCAGTCACAGGGGCGGGATACACGCCACTGCATCAGGCCGCTCAACAGGGACATGTTTTGGTTATCAGTCTTTTGTTGAAGAATAAGGCAGATCCTAATGCAGTTACGCAAGTAAGTTGCTCTTAAGTTGTAGGAGTAGTTTGTGGGAGTAGTTAGTTGAAGTCAATTGAGAAACGATTAAGCAAAGCGAATAGGAATATAATAATATGTTCAGCTTCAGAATTTCCCGTTTTTACACCTTTCTTTACATAACTGAATGTATACTACAATTTACTCATTGGAATCTACTCTTTAGACCAGTGAATTTATTGCTTTTTGTTTTTCCAGAATGGGCAAACCGCATTGGGAATTGCAAAGAAACTGGGATACATCAGCGTGGTCGAAGAGCTGAAGGTTGTGACCGAAACGACCATAAATACAACAACCACTTTGAACATCGAAGAAAAATATAAAGTGATGGCACCGGAAGCGATGCAGGAAACCTTTATGTCAGATTCTGAGGATGAAGGCGGTAAGTTGCTTCAACAGTAAACATTAGTATAAAACCGACCATGAAAGGCCGCAGTTGTTTTATACAGCTTACGCTAGGCTTACTTGTAACAGTTTAGAGGGGAAGCATTAATTATGAGCCTTATACATAGCCAGTTGGTTTATTTGAACTAATTCATATGATTATTGTTTTCGTTATGTGCATTTAGTTTTTGTTGAGTTTGTTTTCTCACGCATCGAAGGGACAATCAAATGCAGTGCTTGAGAAGTGCAACTTGCTTGCTTGTTCCTAGAGTCGTTTTGTTTATGTTTTGTTTGTATGCTTTGTATATTAGTTTGTTGAGTTAATTTCTTAACCGTGAATGAATACAAAAAACGAAGAAGACTACAAGAAGAGGCGTTTATGCAACAGGGCACGATACACCTAAACACGGGTTGCCAATGCACATGAGGCGCATTATTATAAGWATTATCACACGATACYCATACACAAGTGTATACTTTTTGSGATTTTTGTAWATTTGATATACATACTACATGTGCTGACATGTCTAATACATTTTTCCAACACAWWTAAATGGGKATATATGGATAAAATTATCTCCGATTATKCGCCAGATAGACTCTCTCAACTTAGAATTTCGCGGTGGGACTATATTAAAACAAAATAAATTTAATTTTACAGTTGTCAGAATAATTTTGATACAGTATGTATGAGTATGAACAAATTTTGTTCATAAGTATATGTACACAATATACATGCAAACACCATACAATATACATACATAACACAATTAAAATTTMTTTTTTATAATTAGTAAACTTAACCATTTTTTGTCTAATTTATTTTTACAGTTTTCGAAACTTATTCTTCGATTAAGGTCYCGTAATCTAATACAAGTTCTAGTTCGCCAGAGAATTACTTCAAACSGASCTGACGAATTTTCTAACTTCTTCATAGTTCYCTGTGCCAATTTCATRCAAATGTTTTTTCATCATGTAAAGAGTTTTTGTGCATGTCAAAAAACTCAGTATCAAGAACCTGAGCTGCCTTCAATAAATGGTTAGTTGGTTCCACCAAAAACCGTCTCGAAATAGTCTGCAACCAATCAGGTACATTTCTATGTTGCAGATCGCGATTACTTGTAGGAATACCCAAAGAATATTTGTCCCTAACCTGTACGGCACATATCCCGTTATGTACTTTAAATATTCAAAATTTATCTTTTCTTTTACTTCAAATTCATTCACTACTTATTCATCGATAAGTTTCTCTCCTAAGTATTGAATGTGCATAAACTAATTACAAACAATATCTTTACCAAAATCATCTTGATTTTGTTCACCCAGCGGTTCGTTTTTTATCAGATTAGAAAATATTGATTGAGTTCAACAAATATCTTCATCACTGCTCAGTATTTTCATCCGTATTTCTGTTTTCTGCAAAGATTGCGGCAGAATGTTTCTAATATGGTGAGAAGGGTGGTTATTTGCTCCCCCATACCACGATCGTATGAGAAACAATTTTCGAGAACATCTTGGTTAAGACGATAAGTTAACTTTTCATATAAATAATCAAACATATGTGCCAAGGCTCTGTTAGTGAGCAATATTCCTTTCTGAAATGGTAAAATCTTCTGATGCTTTCCAACCCTCTTGGTATTTTTGATATTTGACATTCTCTCAAGCAATTTTTTCTGATTGGAACTATGAGTACCAAATGCATTTTTGCATGGACCACTTTTGTGATATTGTGACCTAGAATTCGACAAATCAACCAGTAACCAGTTGGACGGTGTTGCATCGCTTCTGTGCTGGTGCGAACCACTTTTTCGGTTTTATAACACGGTTCCAAAAATAACCGGTTAATTTGACAAAGTGTAACTGCGGTTCCAGGTTACACTCCATCCTTAATATAACATCAGTTTATGGACACAACTAAATATAAGTTACGACGGAAATTGCTTTGGTCCACACCCTAAAGATAATTCTTTAAATATTTTTGCATATACAGACGTACTTCATCTCCTGAAACTAGCAAGAAACCATATAATTGACAGTGGTTTAATATTAGATAATTGTGTAATAAATAAACATTACTTTGACACTTTATTAAATATATAAAGTTCAGAACTGGCGCATGCATATAAAATAACTAGACAACATCTTGAAGTAACAGGTTCAATGAGGCAAAAAGTTCGATTTGCTGCTGAATGCTTATCAAGTACTGTCGCAAAGGCAATTCGGTACTGTGAGGACGTGATTTGATGCCCAAAAATAGCCATTGGGATAAGGTTGCTGAAGTGGTTCAATTGTATAACAACTGGTTATCCAGGTTACGCGTTTGGAACACTGTTATTTTTGCGGTTACGTTAAATCCCGACCATCCCGAGGCCGAGCTTCGCGTGTGACATCATGCGCCATGACACACAATTGGCATACCGTTTTCTGTGTATCGTGCAACAGGGTATTTTTCTACAAATAATAGTTAGTTGTTCTAAAAACAGCTGCCTCTTGAACATAATGTTACAACGGTTCATAAAAAATGTACTTAATTAAAGATCTTAGAAGTTGATCTAAATAGAAAAGGGCTTTTGTGCTTTTCTAACTAGATGTAAATGACTGAGCTAAATTATTTCAACACGATTTCAGTTTCAATTTGTATATATTTTTTCTTATTTTGTCAAGTCAACGTTCGTACAATGGGCCAAATTCTTACTTTTGGGGTGGATGTATTTGGGTAGTGTAAGGGGCTATAAATAAGCTACTAAGGGTGGCGGTTGGTATGTTGCATGCCTCAGGCGGAGTGGACGAGCCGCCAGTGGTATTCGGCCGACCCACGCATGCCCAACATGTATATCTTCCGTATTACCAGGGACAAATGAACTATACACGTAAGTTTTTCTACTAGCTGACTAACTTACCTGGACGCAAAATGCCACAATGTTCTACTACAGTTAAATTGCATCCTTGTAAATGTTATCTTAGGCGCTTAACTAATATGGTTAGCTGAAGGTACATGTGAAGCCAAACGCTAGTTTCATTTTTGGCTTTTCCAGTAGCGCAGCAGGCTTAACAGTTAGCAACATGTATGGGAAGTGGTTTGCTTTGTAGTTAGTTCAATAAACACCCACAATTTATTGAGCGTTAAAATCGGTATCCTGCTATATCAAATAACGCATAGCTTATAATCATCATCCTCTAATGTGCACTTGCAATATTTAATTAGTTCTAAATCTGCTGTTTACGCTGGATATTCGAAAACAGATATTTACTTGCGTAATCCCACTCTTATCAATACACTTGTTTCATCCTCTCAAACCGGCACCATATCTTATCAACACTCTGGTCGATCGAACGTAGTGCATTAGTTGAAAAATTTCATTCATTTACGCCCTGTAATACTAGTTAGGTAAACTGTTTTAGGATGTAATCTGTTGGCAGCTGAAACTGAAAAGTTCTCGATTGTATTTACAATTACTGTGGCCAAAGTGAGTTGGTGGGTGTTTCAATTACTGATTTAAAAGTACCTTTGTGTCAGCGTATTATTTAGGTACTAAAAAGCAAAGAGGCGAGGTAACTTTTTAACAAGGTTGGCTTTTAGCAAAACAATGCATTACTGCAATAAAACAGTTAAGCAACAAACTCATCATCTTGATAAACAAAAAATAATTATTTAATATAGATTCAAATTTATATTTTGACGTGCAATTAAACCAATCTTTGAACAAGCGAATAGACTGTAACCTCGATAGGTATTAATTGTTTAAATTGAAATGAGACCTACCCAATTGATAACGACTGTAAATACACAGTTTGATTTATACATTTGTTCAGTTTACGCCATTTCTATGTTCACCTTGAATACGCACTTTAAGCTAAAAATAATTGACGATTGAGGATCTCGAATAAATTAACTGTTAGCTAATTAAACATGAGAATTGATAATGTATAACGCGGTTTGATCGATCAACACCCGAACGGGTCTCACGATGTTTTTGAATTGCTCCCACATCATGTCTTATTTTAGTAGCCGTTGAAGTTTACATTACAATATTTATGTAATTTGTTAAAAAAAATACCAATTAATATCGTTCTGTTTGGTGTTTAGGTGACGATCCGCTGTTGGGCGATCAGCAACAGTACAAATACATGACTGTCGACGACATGAAGTCTTTGGGAGACGATTCCATGCGAATGGACGTTACTCACGATGAGAAAAGCGAATACAATCGAAATTCTCTGGGTATTATTTAGGTTCTTATTCCGTTTTCTCGGTATATGTAATTTCTTTCGCATTTTAGCTCCCTCGCATATTAGCAACGAGCTGATCATTCAACCGCAACATGTTAAAGAGTCTTTCTCTCAGCCGGACAATGTTGACATCAACAGGCAACCCGTTACCGCCGGGTAAGTAATCCTTTTAATTCTACCGCCTTTAGTGTTGTTTATATTGGCAATATTTACTTACATTTGTGCGTTTTAACTTAATTGATTTAAAAGTATGTTTTGTGGCTTACTCAAAACCAGCGGTCTGAAGTTAATTTATTCTTAATAATGCTTCCTTGTGTTAATAGAGTGCGCTTAATATATTTATCATCTTTAAATGTTTGAATACAACAGAAAAATTATCAAGACAGTTTCTGTAATACAGATAGTCTATACAGAGCTTTTGTTACAGTAGTGGATTTTTAAACTTACTTATAGGGAGTTATTGAAAATTATAAATACTGTAATGCAGTAATAAGGTTAATTCTTATTTTAATACTGCATTTGCGTTATTTCTCTAACGAAATTATAGTTATTGGAATGCCTAGTTCACTGCTTTCAGTATCCACAGTAGCCACAGATTCTAGAGGTTACTGACTTAGAAATGTCAACTGCTAGTATAAGGTAGAAATAAAGCTTTACAGTAGTATTGATGCACAAATAGCACAGAACAGTATCCTTATTAAGGGGTCTCTTATTTTAAGACTCAATTGCGCAGGCGTATGTGTCAAAATACCACAAACTAACAGTCCTAATTAAGGATATAAAAAGATTGATTTCACTAGAGTTGTGTTGTTGGTTTGAAAAGTATCTTTCAGCTTATCTAATGGATAACATCGTAGATAAACCGATAAATGTTTATTTAAATGATCAATGATTTTTTTCTGAAGCATCTAATGTTGTCGGTATATTGCAATTATTATTAAATAATAAGATACAGTGAAATATGCTAAGTGGTAGATCAGGCCTATTTGATGGCAATTATTCTCATGGCTAGAAAGTTGATTGGAAGATTATTATTATTACTGTTATTGTAGTTGTACTCGCACAAAAATGTGAAAATAATGCAGGCAATTTGTTCTTATTCAAACCTGTCGTTTATTTGATTTTTTTCTGTTCATATTGTTGAAATATGTTAAATGCAAATTGCAGAATAAATAGGTTGAGATAACTTTTTAAGAAATAATTAAGCGGCAGAACGGACATTATTAAAAGCGAGGAATTTCCGGCCTGAAGCATCAAAAAACGAAAAAAAAGTTAAAATTTAGATTAGTATAAACAGATACAAAGTATAAATATGTATGTATATCCCACTACTTACAAATTCACTGTATAGATCTTGCTTATTTGTAGTTAGAGCGTAGGAAATTGAGTTGAATAGAGGACTAAGACGAATAAGAATCACTTAGTAAATGCAATTATATTTTTGAAAAATACATACAGGGCCGTCTTTGAGAGCTTACACTAGAAGTATCTGCTAAACAAAAATCCACACTTTCTGAAACGAACACTGAAAATTTCAATACAAGGTGATAATGTTGGGTCTAAATCGTCTGAAATATTTGTCAAGTCGGTTCCACTTCCGGTTACACTCGCTTATTTTAAATGGAACACTCTGTATATTATAACATTTTTGATTCTCTGTCGGATGTTGAGGTCATTTTGTTAAATGAACTGGGTACGACATTAATTGATAGGTTCAAACTTAGAAATAATGCGGTGTTCCACCTACTTTGGTCAATCAATTTGAATATATCTTTAGCTGGTTGTAGCCAAGGGTTCAATGTATCAATTTGCAGAAAATGAGTTTAGCATCTCTTATGAAAATAAAGTTATGGAATATTAAACTTGACTGAAAAAATCTTTACAAATCATTGATTGATAATGGAACAATTCACACTTAGTTCTTAAGCGCTAGAGCGATTCAAAAATCGCATGTCCCATGTATATCGATGTTGACGATTGCAATTTCAAACATTACATTAATGTGTTCTGTTTGTTCACCAAAATAACATTCAAAAATGTTTGCGGTTGTTTCAGAGTAAAATGTTTCAGAAATATGTGTGTCTAATGAATTTGAATATTTTCTATGAGCTTTATAGTAGGCTTGTGTTTTATAGCAAAAAGTTCCCATTAGTGTTAGAATTCAGTAGCAAAGCTTTCGTTGGTAGCTAACCCTGCTTAATATATAGTTGGAAAACTGTCTTGATAGTGTAGATAGATATAAAGTAAGCAAAGCTAGACAATCCATAACCGATCAACGATAACAATCGATGTGGATGGACGCAAATCCTTATCGCTTGTCTTCGTTGAGAGCTAAATTCGACACCCTGTAACCGTGTTTGTATGTGTGTTCGAAGCTTTTTCGACCCCGACAATGAATGGGTGGTGCTCGAACGGTCCCTCTTACATTTGGGCCCCAAACCCAAAAGCCCCGGGACAGGCCTGTGCAGAGAAAGGTATTTTAATACTGACCGATGGGGCACATCGGTCGATTAACGCACTGAATGCCGCACTAAAGTTATTTACCAACACTACTAATCAACACTGAAGCGTGAGGGTGATAACTGTTGTGGTTTTCTTTTATACAAGCTCTTGTATTGTAGTTATTTGACGAACGAACTGTTTAATCAGTTAGGTGTATGTGTTTTTGTGCGTTTTGTTTTTGAATGAAATACTGTTTAGATTAATCGAAATTGAATCGAGGACACAAGGTTTTTCCAACGCTTTCATTTTTTGAGAAGAATCTTTTTGTTGTTGGCACTTTCACCTTTTATACTCTGCTATTTTCACCAAGAACCACTTTGTGCAAAGCACTACATTTCTGTTCGATGAATTCCCGACATGTTCGTTTTAAGGGTTGAGATATCTGAGATATTTCTGTGCAAACGTTCCGTTTGCAGACGCATCGGGGCCACATTGGGACTAATAATACTATTTCCTGTTTAATATGTATATATTTTTATCAGTAGATTTTTAATTCTCTATGTTGCCTGGCCTGAGTGTTTTTTCCTAGTTAATATAACTATATCCCTACTAAACGCGTAAATCGACCAGAAGCATTGATTTATTATGCCGTATGAAAGCAACTAGGAGAATATGAATTGCTGGATCTGTAAAGTGCAAGTGTGACCCAAATTAGTTGTCACGCGAACCTTTGTCGTAACATTAACATTAAATTTGTCAAAAATTACATGAATATACACTAAATGGTAAGAGTGCTGAAAAAGTAACTTGTCGGAATACCCGAGATGAGGAGAAAAGTAACGATTACTGACCAGGTCAAAAACGATGCGATCGCGATGAATTTAAGTATTCGTATCGAATTCGGATCTGGTATTTAAGTATTTTCCGATGTCGTGGCGGATGCGAAAGTAACAAAGTCATTACAGTAGCGGTTCCTCAATAAGTGCACCTAAAAGTTTTCAATGCCTATTCTTAAGAACACGATTATATTTTATATTTTTTGAAGTAATTCATAAAATTGAGTCCAAGAACGTGTCGTGCAAAACGCAAAGACCTGTGAATTATAATAAAGCTAGTCTTTCGGTTAAAGGCTTCAGCTTTGATCACTGCACATTTGTAGAGTAAATTTGGTATAATTTTCCACCCGCGATCTTTGTTCACTCGCAAGAGTACTGAGTAGTACGATCTTTTAAGTTGGCCATTGTTCCCACTTTACTTCATCGCTTTTTTCGGTTTGTTTAGTCAGTAGGTTACTGTACGTGGCGCATTGATATTCGAATCGGGATATTTTGATTGCGAGCATGGCAAACTTTTGTATTTCTTATTAAAGTCGTTTAACTTTTTGGCTTCGGTGATTTTCCAACATTGCACACCTCAAAGTATTAAACCACGCGCAGCTTCTGACTTACTGCAATGATTACTTTGAGATCTCATATATGTGGAGCACATAGTAAAGTTTGATTGCAAGTTCTAGTGTGGAAATCAAAGTAACGAATAGTTTAAATTTTTTCAGAGTAATGACAACTAGAGAATACTTTAAAGTAATCTACTAAGTGGCCTTTTTTTATCATATGGTGATTCTTCCGTTTATTCTAAATGGTATTTGTTGGAAACTTAGTCCATATAAAACTGCATCAGATACTGAAACTGCCGTCGTTTCGCTGATAGATATCTGCACCGTCAGAGCATCTCGGGGGAAAACCATCGCTATGGATGGATGGATGAAAGCTTTTAACATTTTTCATCAAGCGTTTAACTTTGATCGGTTTTCTGCAAGAGGCCCTGATGATGCATAAATAATCTACCAAACGTGTGCATTATAAACATCTGACCAGTGCAAATATCCTCATAAATCTCTTTGTATTTGCTAAGAATATATCTTTAAAATACTGATTGAAATGAATCCAAAACAGTAAATTCTGAGAATTACACTTGCACTTTATACTGTACTGTGTACCATTACTGTAAATATACTATATAGAGCTATTAACCTTACTCTGTGTGTACTTTTGTCTACAGTGTCCCCAGTTGGAAAAAGTAAGTCTTGTATTTGTGTACAGTCTCTAACCTTTTCATTTTTAACTTGAAAAAGTAGATTAGATTCAAATAGAAACTAATATGTAGCATATATGCCGAACCATAATTTCTATTACATAACTGCCTTGATATTTTATATCCTCATCTGTAATATATTTTTCATTACACTGTTCATTATGAAAAACCCGAAGCCTAAATAGAAATCGCCATATCGGCTAATTTTTGACACGGATGTGGATGCATCATTCACAAGCAAGAAACTATCAATTTTCTGTGTTTTGGTGTAGCTTTTTGGTGTCTTTCCTGGTGGATGCACGCGGAGGTGCCATGCGCGGCTGCAGACATTCAGGAGTCAGAGTAATTGTACCACCGCGATGTGCTCACGCCCCTACGCGGGTGACATGCCGTTACGTTAGAGCGCACAGAGCTCCCCATCCGCCACCCCTAATGGAGGGTGAAGCTTTAGCCAGTCGGCTTCTGGAACTGGGACCAGTAGGAGCCAAGTTCTTAGGGTGAGTCACCTACTTTTTTCTTTTTTGTGTCCCAGGTGCACTCCCAAAGGAATACATGACCAAAAATTCATTTCAGGCCTGTTATAATCGAGGTGCCCCACTTTGCATCGCTGAAAGGCAAACATCGCGAAATTGTGGTGCTGAGATCGGAAAATGGAGAGACCTGGAAGGAGCACACTTTGGAAGCCAACGAGGAGGCGATCCAAGACGTTTTGAACCACAGCTTTGATGGCGAAGGTAAGAGAGCAGTTTCAACTAACGAACTGAGGTGAAACAAAATATCGAGGTGACAAAATATTGACAATTTAAATAGATTTACATAATACAAATTCATTTCTTTATTTAAAAGCCAAAATTTTCGAACTTTTTAAAACCGCTTAAAGTAATTAAAAATTGGAAAATGGTTAATATAGCAATTGTATATGATAGTTTAAGGGTCCAAGAAGGCGTAAAAGCGCGAGCTCAAAAAAATATCCATAACTGAGCCTGGCATAAAATTAAAAAAGAGTTATTTTTTCAGGTAGGTTATTTGACAATTGCAGTATGCAAAAACTGTCCGTCCGATCTTAATCGGCGTTGCGGCTCTCGTTTTGTATTGCAGTCAAGTACTTTTCTCTAAATGTATGGCGTGATTAACTTATTTTTCATTGTCAAATAAATCATTTAAATACTTTGTTTTTACCTACTTTTTTGCACTTTCGAGCATTTTAAAGCGAACATTTCAAATCTATGGATGTCGGATCAACTCTTTGTTATAGAGAATTTCATAATGAACAAATTTATGAGTATGCGTTTTCTCCAAAATGCATCCTTACGGAGTTATATGCGATTGTTTCGGGGGAAAAAGCGATTTTCAAATTTTCGTTGTTTATGCGAATAGCACCTTTTCAAGCTGGCGCACCTCGATATTTTCAATAATACATATACCATTCCCGAGCGATTCTGATTATGTTAAGTCACGTTACAGCAATGCCAATCTGTAACGCTCCTGGCCTACTATTGCAATCAATTTCCAGAATTAAGCCAATTGGAGGATCTGCACACGAACCGCATTACCCGAATTCTCACCAACGACTTTCCGCATTATTTCGCGGTGGTTTCACGAATAAGACAGGAGATTCATGCTGTTGGCCCAGACGGAGGGACCGTTTCCAGTGCTGCTGTACCTTTAGTGCAAGCCGTCTTTCCGGCCAATGCCTTAACCAAGAAGATCCGAGTCGGATTACAGGTACAAAGGCGCGACTTTGAATTGCCCAGCAAAACTAATTGTATTTTTCCAAGGCCCAAGCAATCGAGCCGGAATTGGTTACAAAGCTTTTGGGGCATGGAGTTGCAGTTTCTCCCATACTGACTGTCGAGCCAAGAAGACGAAAGTTCCACAAGGCTATCATGCTGAGCATGCCAGCCCCTAAAGCTCACTCTCGAGGCATGATCAACCAGTACCAAGGGGTTTCCAGCACCACTTTGAGGCTGCTTTGTTCCATCACAGGTAATTGTTGATTATGATTGAAGAGATGTCTTAGAACTAACTGTTTGATTAGGTTTTTTGATATTCAATGGCAAATCCATTTTCAGTTTTCAATTCAATGTAACTTTAGCGAATTTTGGCTCACAACCTTTGCGCTGTTTTTCCTCACGCAATGTCTTGGGATTGATATTTACGTGTTTAGCTAGAAGACACTTGATGGTTAGTTTCACAGAACAAGATGGAGAAACTAGCGATGGGAATAATCGTCCTTTCCGGCCAGTCGGAAGATATGCAGTTTTTTATTATCGTCTGATGCCGATTCTTCCCATCACTAGCTAAAACATACTTTTTATATAAATAAACAGTTTTCTATAGGTATCTGATTACCGAATTATACAGTTTTAGTGTTTTTTCAAATAACGACAGCAAAACTATCTAAAATATTTTCAACCGAAACGCATGGTAAACATATGTAAGAAGACTTCCCTCACTCATTTAGATCAGGATAAGATTCCCACACAATACAATCTACTTTTTCCATGCATGTTAATTAATGTTAGCTGTAATGTACTAAATGTGATCTATATTGTTGCAAAACTCTTATTTTATCATTCATGCTTCAACTTAGGAACTAAATCAGGTAAAATTTAGTTCCTCCGATGTAGATTTGATCTGTTGCTTGGTTTCCTGGATATGCCAATGTTTAGTTGAATATAGGTTTATAACCAAAATGATGATGATTTAGTTGACTGATCTTAGGTCATTACAAAAACACTGTTTACCGCAGAAAGTGAACTCTATACGGGGTGTTACATATTCAAGAAGTTAGCATTGGGATCTCGTGAAGCGTAAGAAATACGAACTCGATTAAAATATGGTAAAGTTGCACACTTGCATGCTTAACAAAATGGTGTTTTAAAAATCGGAGAATTCCCAGTACTTCGGGAAATATTCGAAGACAACCGAAATTTGGTCAAGTGATTTTTATTCTCTCCTGAGCTTATTTGGGACGAAATTTTATTTCTTTTATTATGCTATCCGATGTGGATTCTATGTTCTGTTTTCGGCCCACCGTCCTCAACTTGTTTTTTTTGTATGAACCTTAATTCATCTGTTTATAAATTCTACAGATCTCAGTAGTGGGACTGTAGAATATTTGTTGGAAAACTTGTTGAAAAGTCGGGAAAATACACACTTTCCACCAGGGGATTAAGA